CCCAGGGACTGACATCCTCCTGGCCGCACCACGGGGGTTTGTGGATCTGCAAAGCCAGAGGCCTCCAGTGTGCACATCCCCTCCTGGCGTGCAAACATCCCCAGCACACTGTCACCCTCCCGGGCCTGCAACAGTTGCAAACCAAGGCGTGCACAAGTTTCCCCCGCCTCTCCACCACACTTCCATCAACCCAGCATGCTTAACACCCCCACAGGATGTGCACACATCCCCTCTGATGCGCTCACGTCCTTTGGAGAGTGCTTGGGTGTTCTGGGTGCTGAGGGTGGGCGCCTGTGAGATGACAGTGAGAGGGCAGAGTGGTGATGCCCTGTTCCCACGGAGGCCAGCGCAGCTACAAGATCACCTCTGGGGGGTTAATGCAGGTGCTGGGGCAGGAGCAGGTGCAGACAGACACACCTGGTGGGCGTGGGCAGCCCTCGCTGAGGTGCCTTCGGTCAGTGTTCAAGAGCAAGAACCCAGAGGCAGATAAGAATTCTGTCCTCTCAATGAAACAGTGGGATAGTCGGGGGCAACTGTAGAGAAGGAATGTGCACTTTGGGTGCCATGACCCATGAGTGAAGGCTGCCTCTGACTGAGCCTCGCTTGCTTGGGGCCTAGCGCACTCCTGCCGGGCAGCGGGTGACAGGACGTGCTTTTCCGAATTAATGAGAGAAAACGTTGATTCTCCTGCCCACGAAGGTGGAAAGTGAAGTGGGGAGACATGTGGGAAGTGAGCGAGGTTCCCTGTCTTGGGGTTCCAAATCTACTGTTGGTTTCTTTCACCACTGACGAGAGATATACAGGGTGTCCCACAAAAATGTATACACACTTTGAATACCTACTAATTCCAATGGTTTTAAGCATAAGAAAGAAAAAACAATGGAGCTGCTATCTGTTAAAAGTGTGGCACAAACAGGTAGTTAGACATTCCCTGAGGGGTCTCAGATTGGAGAGGGTGAAGGCCAGACTATGAGGTCTCCCCGCCCCCCCAACCCAGTGCACGAATTTCGTGCACTGGGCTACTAGTAATGACTAAAAACCTGAAACTATATTTGCATATACACAGTAACACAAAACAAATGAGTTAGGAAATTAAGAGATTACCACTTAGATTGATGTCTTAACAAATAAAGTTCATCAAAAGTAAAATTATTTCTACCTCTTCTGACCTCTTGTCAAGTACATCTCTAACTATCTTCATTTGACTTATCCTTTCTTCCCCATGGATGGGAGCTGTAGCATTCCTGGACCTACTGAAAAGTTCCCAACCACCGCTGGTACTACTTTGACCAAATGAAGATAGTTCCCAACTGAGCAGACCCTAACACAGCCCAGTCATTTGATGATCTGGAATCTTCTCCACATTGGGTAGTTCTATTTGTTTTAGGTAATGAATGAAGGAAGTAGGAGTTGGTAGAGAGAGAAAGGTGCAAAGGAAGAGAGAGTACATTTATTTTTTATTTTATAACTGAATCTGGATTGGGCCAGAAAGAAATTTCAACTCATATTGACTCTAATTTATATTGGTTAACTTGTCCTTAATTGCTGTCTGTCCCAAATTTACAAATCTTTCCTCCCACTTGTGGAATCCTTATAAGGTTAAATTATTTATTTCACATTTATAAATTGCCTATGCAGTTCCAGATCATGGAGAAACAATGGAAAACAAGATACATTTCAAGAAACTTACAATCAAGTATTTTGCCCCAACAATGTCAGCCTGATTTTTGTAGCCTAAGTCAACAGAGCTCTTTTTAGTGGACATTTAAGCTCCATCTTTGCCTGCTCCGTCTGACTTCCATAATGATTCAAACAACTGTATGAGGAAAATAAAATATTTACCTTAAAAAATTTGTGGGTGTGGATTTTATATTTAAAAAGTAAAGCAACCTAGCCCTGGCTGGTGCTGCTCAGTGGTTAGAATGTTGGCCCACTGTAGGGTTGTGGGTTCTATTCCTGGTCAAGAGCACGTACTCTGGTTGCAGCTTCCATCCCTGCACAAATGCAGAAGACAAACAATTGATATCTTTCTCTCTCTCTCTCTCTCTCTCTCTCTCTCTCTCTCTCTCTCTCCTCCCTTCCACTCTCTCTTTCTAAAAAATAATCAATGGAAACAATATCCTCAGGTGGGGATTAACAACAGCAACAACAAAAAAGGTAAAGCACCCAAAGGTGAATTGGCTTAGCTTTAAAGTCTGTGTAAAGAAAACCGACATTACTCCTGAGTTTTTCTTTTCGTCTCACATTAACACCACACTCACAACACTCTGATACCAAATGTATGAGGATTTTCCCTTCACCAAGCAATTCTGTGACACCAGCTATGTGTCCTACAATTTAACTCAATTCTGACACTATTCACCTGGAGATAGCATTAGATCCCACAAGACTCTTTTTCCCCTACCTCACTTCAGATGCTAATCTAGCTGGTCCATTCAGCCCTCTTCTCTACTTACAGGCATTGAGAAGTCCCCTTATTGGACAGTTTCCTTCTATCCTTCTATTTTCAAAGGCTATTTTTCACCTCTCACTCAATCCTTCTGTTTGGAGCCCTGCTTATTAAACAAGAAATTTCTGGGCTAACATTGATCATAAGCCTAGCTCATGGCTAAAGTTCCCATCTAACCATTGAAAAAGGTAAGAAGGAAATAAAGAGAGTGAAGCAAGAAAAATCTCTAATAAACTATTTAACTCTACTTCTAAAAGAACTAGGAAGAGAATAAGAACAGACCAGAATAAGGAGAAGGAAGGAAAAAATAAAGATCAGAGTGGAACTAAATGACAGAGACTAAAAAAAAAAAATACAAAAGATGAATGAAAATAAGAGCTGATTCTTTGAAAATATAAACAAGACTGATGAACCGTTAGCCAGACTCATCAAAAAACAAAGAAAGAGGGCCTAAATAAATAAAATCATAAATGAAAGAGGTGAAGTAACAACTGACACCACAGAAATACAAAGGATTGTAAGAAAATACTATGAACAAGTATATGCCAACAAATTGGAAAACCTTGGCGAAATGGACAAATTCCAAGAATCATGCAACCTTCCAAAACTCAATCAGGAAGATTCAGAAAACCTGAATACACAAATAACAACCAATGAAATTGAAGCAGTAATAAAAACTCCCAGCAAACAAAAGTCTTAGTCCAATGACTTCACAGGTGAGTTTTACCAAACATTCCAAGAATACCTATCCTCCTCAAACTATTCCAAAAAATCCAAGAGAAAGGAAAACTGTCAAGTTCTTTTTATGAGGCCAATATTATCCTAATTCTAAAACAAGATAAAGATACTGCAAAGAAGAAAAGTTACAGGCCAGTATCCCCAATGAACACAGATGCTAAAATCCTCAACAAAATATTAGCAAATCGGATCAAAAAGATCAAACACCATGACCAAGTGGGAATTATTCCAGGGATGAAAGGCTGGTACAATATTCACAAATCAATAAATGTGATACATCACATAAAAGAAATTGAAAGATAATAATCACATGATCCTATTAATGGACACAGAAAAAGCATTTGACAAAATCCTGTACCCATTTTTTATTTTTAGAAAGACAGTGGAAGAATGGGGAAGACAGAGAGAAATATCAATGTGAGAGACACACATTGATTGGTTGCCTCCTGCATGCCTCTGACCAGGGCCTGGACTATAGAGGAGCCTGCAAACGGGGTACATGCCCTTGACCATAATCGAACCTGGGACCCTTTGGTATGCAGGCTGAAACTCCATCTATTGAGCCAAACTGGCTAGCGCCAGCACCCATTTTTAATAAAAATTCTCAGGAAAGGGGGGATAGAGGGAGCATACCTTAACATAATAAAGGTCATATATGACAAACCTACAACCACCATCATACTCAATGGGCAAAAATTAAAACCATATTCCCTAAGAATAGGAACAAGACAGAAATTTCCCTTTTACCACTTTTGTTCAACATAGTACTGGAAGTCTTAGCCACAGTGACCAAATTTTCTAGAATACAGTGGGGGATTTGTTCTATTTTTACAAACCAGAATCAGATCAGTACAACCAAAGGAGCCATCAGGCTACAGGAGTCTTCCCAGCTCTAGCCCCTGTAGCTTTTAGAAAGTGTTGAATTCAGTTTTAAAAAGCACTGAAACTCAAGACTTAACAGTATCCTATATAATAAAGAGGTAATATGCAAATTGACCATCACTCCACCACAAAGATGACAGTGCCCACAGTGGAGGGGGGACGGAAGGGCTCTGTAACACAAGATGGCTGCACCCACAGCAGAGGCTGAGTTCCCAAAACAAGCCTTAACAAGCAATCAGCAGGGACCTGAGGCTGCACTCCTCCCAAACCCTCCCCATGGGGCTTGACGGGACCTCAGGCTGCACCCCCCACCCCAGCAGGGCTTAACAGGGGAACTCAGGCCACGCTCCCCACCCCAGCGCCAGGCCAGGGGACCTAAGGCTGTGCCCCCCACCTGCTGGGGCTTGACAGAGGAACTCAGGCCATGCCCCCCACCTGGCGGGGATTGACGGGGGACCTCAAAGTGCACCCCCCACCCCGGTGATGGGCTGGAGGACCTCAGGCCACACCTCTGGCCCAGCGGGGCTTGATGGGGGATCTCAGCCACATCCCCCACCCAGGGGGACTTCACTGGGGACCTCAAGCATACCCCCCACCCCACTGCCAGGCCAGGGGACCTGAGGCTGCTACCCTGCCCAGCGGAGCTTGACAAGGGTGGGACCAGCTGGGTCTGGATCTAGCCCAATGGGGGTGGGGCTGGCCAAGTCTGGGTCTTGAGCAATTTTGAGGCGCACATGGGTGGGCAGAGACTTGACTCTGGGTCCCGTGGTGTGCCCCAGACACTGACAGGAGGAAGATTTTCATATACATTTTACTAATTTCCTTTCGTCTCTGACACTTCTATTATAGAGAGAGGGCAAATAGCAATATTAAAATATTTTCCCTAGTTAATCCCCTTTTAATGTGCACAAATTTTGTGCACTGGGCCACTAGTTATATTATAATCTTCAAACTGCTGAGAGACTAAATATTGATTATTCCCACCACAAAAAAAAGAAATGATATGTGATGTGATAGAACATATGCACATATGCATTGCCCATGGACATAGACAATAGGGCAATGAAGGCTTGGGCAGGGTGGGAATCTGGTAGAGGGGGGCAATGGGGAAAAAGGGGCGACATCTGTAGCACTCTCAACAATAAAGATAAATTTTTAAAAAAGAAGGCCATGTGACAATGGAGGCAGAGATTGTAGTGGTGTAGCTATGAGCCAAGTAATGCCAAACAACCCCTAGAAGCTAGGAGAGAGTCATGGAACAGATTCTTCCTCAGAACCTCAAGAAGGAACCAATCCTGCTGACACCTTGATTTTGGACCTCTGGCCTACAAAATTGTGAGAGATAAATTTTAAGCCAAAGAGAGAGATAGAGAGGCAGATAAAGAAACCTACTGGGCCACATATATTAAAACTTCAACAAACATTGTAGAAATTAAAATGATAAACGCTTTATTACTTTAAAATAAATCAAGTCTCTAATCTTTTTCTGATAATTAACTGCTATGTTAATACTGAAACATGACTTCAACATAAATTTACAAATTTAGAGCATAAAAATGTATTTTACTAGTTGCTCAACTCTTGAAAAAATTGCTTCTTTTAGTCTATAAAATTTGCTTCCTTCTCATTAAGCTTTCATTTCTGACCCATAGTAGATTAAAAAACAAGTTGTACTTTAGCTTTCCTTTCTCCCATATTTCATGTAGTGGTTGTCCATTGCAAAAATTTTTAACATGACTCATGATTGTCTTAGCAGAATATGAAAATGATATTTTAAATATTTTAAAAGAGAAAATGGTAAAGATGATTTTACTATAGTTAAGGTAGGATTAAAGACATTTTTCTTCTGTCAATAATAAAAAAAATTTTTTAAAAACATCTTTTGAGGTGTTTTTGAGTAAAGTTTAAAGCAACAAATAATTGTAAACTAATCCACAAATTAAAATATAGCAATGCTGCCACTACTTCATTATGATAATGTGTTTATACCAAAGGTTAGTCCTAGAAGCAATGGTTTAACCAGCTGAAATTTGTCTTTGTGGTTATCCTGCCTTTATATTTGGTTATTTTGTGATGCACTTCTCAGTCATCAGAATGAGGATGTCATTAGATCATGTTGGAAAATGTGACCCCAAGGTAGGTGTGGGTCTAGTGGTTCTCAACCTTCTGGCCCTTTAAATACAGTTCCTCATGTTGTGACTCAACCATAAAATTATTTTCGTTGCTACTTCATAACTGTAATGTCGCTACTGTTATGAATCATAATGTAAATACCTGATATTCAGGATGGTCTTAGGCGACCCCTATGAAAGGGTCGTTCGACCGCCAAAGGGGTCACAACCCACCGGTTGAGAACCGCTGGAACCAAATGAGCATTGTCAGATGATGCCTATTTGGAAACTCATAGCCAGTACTTAGGAAAAGCTACCACTGATTTTAAAGCCAAATGATCTGATGCTTGGGAAACATACTGCTATTACAGCAAAAATTTAGCCCCAAAAGTTACAAAGACGGTGTAGAAATATCACTAGTCCTACCTGAACATAAGACAAAAATTAAAGCTCTGATTGATATGGATTATTGAAAAGAACTATATCTAGCTTTTTGCTTCCTTAAATCTTTGTAGTGGGCTTTCTGGATTTAATAAATAATTACTTTTGTTTCTCAAAGGAAATTTTTATTAAATGTATGGTTCTGTTTTCTGCCTCCATCAAATAGGAAGACCATTTAATACTCTTCCTAGAAGTTAAAGTTGTAAATCTAAACATGCCAAATGACTTTTTAAAAGGGGGGCGGGGGGACATATAAAAGAAACAGACTAGCCTGACTGGTGTGGCTCAATGGTTGAGCTTCAACCCATGAACCAGGAGGTCATGGTTTGATTCCACGTCAGGGTACATACCCGAGTTGCTGGCTCCATCCTCAGTAGAGGGCATGCAGGAGGCAGCCGATAGATGATTCTCTCTCATCATTGATGTTTCTATCTCTCTCTCCCTCTCGCTTCCTCTCTGAAATCAATAAAAACTAATTTTTAAAAAGGAAAAAGAAACAGACTAAGTTTAGAAGAACTTAAAAGATATATTATTTAACGCACTTGGTTTTATTTGTAGGTAACTCAGTTATCTGGGGAAGAAAATCTGTTTACCAATATTCTGAGGCACCTGGATTTCTATGTTATGCCGGTAGTTAATGTGGATGGTTATGACTACTCTTGGAAAACAGTAGGTGAAGGCAAAGAAAAAACTTGCCCCCTTTGGGAATACATGATACTCCGAATTAATTATTTATAAAATCCTGGATCTTGGCACAATGGTTTCATTATGAAACAAAATAATTCTCATTACAGAAAAGATCAACCTTATGTGAGTGGAAATAATTTTATAGTACACTCCTATGTACCTGTCAGAGAGCTTCACAAATAATCATCTTAAGCCGATCTATTTTCATCTATATACTCTTCTACCTTACCCATATTATTTTAAAGCAAATCTCAGACATCATATCATTTCATCAATAAATATTTTAGTATGCATCTCTAAAAAAGCTCTTTAAAAAATAACCACAATACAAATATATCTAAAAATTAAAAATAATTACTTGAAATAAAAGGTTCAATCAATATTTAAATTTTTAATTACATAATAACTTTTAAATAAGTTTCTTTGATTCAGGATCCAAAGAAGGCTAATATGCTGTGATTGACTTATATGTCTTTTAATTCTATTGTAATCCATAAATGCTCACGTTCTCACTCTTCCTTGCAATTTATTCATTGAACAAAAAAGTTTCCCATTGTCTGAATTTGCTAGTTGCATTTTGCCATGTTGCAATTTAACCTATTCCTCTGTCCCCTGTATTTTCTAAAAATTGATATTTGGATTCTGTAAGCTTAATCAGATTTAGAATTAACTTTTTTGGCAAGACTACTTCATTGTGATAGTGTGCTCTCAGATCAGGATGTGTATAACATCTAGTTGTGACTGTTTTTGAGATATTAGTTACCACTGATGCACAATGCCTAGATTCATTTATTCTTACTAGGAATCCTTTAAATAGCATTTTTTATTTGTAAAATCATAAATTACAAGATGTAGAACAGAATTAATTGAACTTTTATTCTAACTTATATGTGAATTAAACCTTAGTACACTTTAACTCAATCATGAGCATGAGTATCCTGATCAATCTCATCTCTATTGGGAACCATTATCAATAATTTTTCTAACCTATAAGTATCATGATTCATGTAAAATTACTCAAGCACTATGAAGTACATTCCTTTCTAATTTAATGAGGGACACATAAAACATAACTGAGCATATATCAGTTAAGAGAAATCTACTTGAGTAGCACATGTAAACACTACAGGGAATGAGAAAAGTGCAGGGATTAGAAACATATGGGATTACACAGGAATAATTTCATGTTGGAGGTAATTTATGCAGAAGAGATCAGAATGGAGATTGATGGGAAAATCAACTCAATTAAGAGGAATACCAAGAATAAAAGTTTGCAGGTGGGGGTGGGCAAATCCTAAACTAAATAAATGAGAAATACCTAGCATAGCACATAATACTAATTTAATGTTCAATAAGTGATCACATCTAGATGTTGATGTTATAATAAATGTATGCCTTCACCGGAATCACAGTGGAATTTAGCCACCCTTTAGATGTTTCCACTTTTCAGTTGTCCTTTGTGTCTGAACTCTGCCAAATAGTACTTCCTGCAGTTCAAGAACCTAATTTCTCCACAGAAAGTGTTGCTACCAAACCACAGGCCAAGGTTTGGAAGCAGAATGGGAGGCTTGGTAGAAGGGCTGGTGAGAGTAGGGGAAAACAGTGCCACATCACCCCAACCTTAGGACTAAAGGCTGTGCAACTATTTACATGATCAAATCTTCTAGTTTACCTCAGGAATACAGTGGGGGACTTGCTTTATGTTTACAAACCAGAGTCAGATCAGTACAACCAAAGGAGCCATCAGGAGTCTTCCAGCTCTAGTTCCTGTAGCTTTTAGAAAATGTTGAATTCAGTTTTAAAAAGCACTGAAACTCAAGACTCAACAGTATTGTATTATAATCTTCAAACTTGCTGAGAGACTAAATATTGATTATTCCCACCACAAAAAAGAAATGATATGTGATGTAATAGAGGTACTAACTATCCCTACAATGGTAATCATATCATAATACATAAATGTATCAAATCAACATGTTGTACACCTTAAATTTATGCAATGTTAGATGTCAAATATATTTTAATTTTAAAAAAAGAAGGAACTCTCGCCTTTTGCAACAGCTTTAGATGTCATATATTTTAATTTTAAAAAAAGAAGGAACTCTCGCCTTTTGCAACAGCATGGATGGAACTGGAGAGCATTATGCTAAGTGAAATAAGCCAGTCAGAGAAAGATAAATACCACATGATCTCTCTCATTTGTGGAATATAGTGAACAACATAGGCTGATGAACAGGGACAGATCCAGAGACAGAGAAGCAGCGATCAGACTGTCAAACCTCAGAGGGAAGGTAGGGGAGGATGTGGGGAAGGGGGAGAGATCAACCAAAGGACTTGTATGCATGCATATAAGCCCAACCAATGGACACCGACAGTTGCGGGGAGGGTGAGGGCATGAGTGTGTGTGGGCTTTATGGGGGGAATGAGGTCACATATGTAATACCTTAATCAATAAAGAAATTAAAGATTGAAAAAAAAAGACTTAAGGAGCAATGTAGTGTTGTAGGGTTATAGTATTTTTAAACGGGAATCCTGCAGGCTGACTCACTGTTCAGGTGGTAGAGGAGATGATGGAGAATTCACAGTCTCAGACTTACAGGTGTTCCTGATCACATTTCTAATCCTCCTTGGGAAGGGGAGAGATGATGCCAGCTTGGATAAGTACTTCTGGAAGTTTTGCTGACCCCTGGTTTATATGTGACCACATACAAGTTTGCCCTAAATACCAGTCGGGTGAAAGATGCAGGCACAGAA